TCACCTTCCCTTCAGCATGTCGGCAAAGTCAAATCAGTTGCCCCGTGGACCAGTGGCATGAGCAATCGGAACTGGGCTGTTTGTGTCAGTTGAATCGTACTCAGACCAGCTGTTGTGCCGAGTGTTGCTGTTCGGCCAACCTGTTTCTGGGCCGGTACGGCAGTTTGGAGGCTCTAGGACAGTTGGCAGTTACTCTGTCCCCTCCGACTTACTATCCTAAAATACCGGACACCGTAACTCACGAGTTGAGCCCCGAGAATTGGCGTCCTCCTCTTTCCACCTTCGCGAGTATGTGCGCCTACACTTCTGCTACTTCTTGCTCCGCCTCAGCGAGCATCACCAACTTCTCCTCGCCTCCAACCTTCGTTGAACAGGACATTGTGAATTGTCATAATAGAAAAGACAATGATGTGTTGGCCGTCGTAAATGGGGATACTGACTCAGCGGACCGAACTTCATTAATACCTGCGCCAGACGAGGTTTTACAGAAAAAAGAACATATTGAAATGGTACGCCATGAATTACAAAACGGTTAATTTTAATGCTTTCTGATTGAAGTGTTTCTAATAAATTTGGTGACTTGAGATTATCGTCTAAGGGTTATACTGTCTTAAGATGGAATTATATTTTGGGAAAAAGGCTTTGTGAAATTCAATGTAAACCTAAGTCTTACGCATATGATTTTTGTAATAGTCAACTACCAGTCATCATCACCTTCATCATCCTAAAAGACTAGGATAAATAAGTTTATCATATAAATGGCATGGTAGTCTCGAATGCCTACTTATAAACGAAAAAAGTAAAGAAACGAGAATTGAATTAAATCTTATTTTAAAAGCAGATTTTATTGCTTCGAATTCTTGGCAAATACTGCAGTTGAATTCGTTGCAAATGCCTAAAAACCTCCAAGAAAAAGATTTAAACGTGCATTTTCGTTTAAGCCAAAAATGAGGCTCAAAATTGGTCTTTTTCAGACCTTATGTTGAATTTAGTGCTAAACCAGGTGCCAGCCCAAGTTTAAGGTCATATGCTCGTAACACTAATTTTACTTTGCCTCATTCTCAGGTCCAATTCATCTATTTTTGTATAGATAAAATTTTCCATTTCACGACTTCGCATTCGGGGTAAAATAATAGGTGATGTCATTATTGAAGGGTGATAAATGTTGGCATATTCTAATTAGAGCTGTTTATGCTAGTGGACTTAAGCACAAATTTCCTACCGGAAGGTCAGGTGAGCTTGCAGCGGAAGTCTTGCCAGATCGAATGACACCTCTCCTTCAAAGCCCGTAAAGAAATTGTCACAGTGATAGCACCTCATTATCTTAATCCGATGTGGAGCGGAGTATGAAGATGCCCTTTATATGAGTATAATACTGTGGTAAGTAAAAGAAAAATAATTACATCTGCAAACAAGAGAATGAGGCTATTTGTTTGAATAAAGACGAAATTTAATGACAGGTATGACCTCTTTGTGGGCGAAAAAAAATATACTGGCCACTGGGTATCCTGAATGTGCACTTTTGATGTGCTTACGGTTGGACTAGACTCATACTCAGAAAGTCTCTTGACTGAAAAGGGTCAATCAGGTTTGGAACTGGAGAAGGACAACAGAAAGTCTATGACCATTGGTTTGCAGAAGAGTGAGAGCAAGCTACTTACGTTATTCCTTCAGGAAATGAGCAAAAAAGTGGTTCATCAACTTCGTTAGTCTCACCAGCAAACAGACCCAATCAGCATAGCCATGCATGATGCTTGCTTGCTAATTTCTTGAATTAGTTTGTATTGAAAAATCCTGTCTAGTCGGTGAACTTTTCTGAGTTTGAAATTAGATGAAAAAGATCGCCATAGAAGATATTTGTATGTCCTCCTCTTCACAATTAAGCTGAACGCTCTGAAAGCGACTAGCAAGTGTGCACAATAATTGTTGTTACGGGATAAATTTTTGACATCACAATCTTGCAATGTCGATACGATTTGTCACTTTTTTATCTTCATAATAATCTATACTGTGGATCTTAGATACAATTTTGTTTAGTCTTTAAGTGGCTAGGCATTTCCCTTCATGATTGTAGTAAAATGATTTATTCATATTTCCTTAGTTCCCTCATTAGTTAACAGTTCGGCGACGTTGGAGCAATGAATAAACCTTGGGCAAGATTTCATGACCTCGATTTCACTAGGTTTGTTGAGCTAACATATGAATGGAAATCCAGGCCAAAGAATGAACTCTGAAGCTATTTAACATTCTTTAGACTTGAATGCATCTTACTGTCATAAAAGAATGGTTAAAAATGCCTAACATTGTTCAAAAATTAGCAGTATTCCTAAATAATTTATTCTTTATGAACCGCCGTTCAAATAAAGACTTGAATGGGAAATTTTTCATATTATTTATATGTTCATTAGGTCAAAGCCAAGTTGTAAAACCTGATCACCCCACGTCCCAATGGCCAAATTTGTCTGCCCACAAGGCTAATTTAACTCAAAGTGATTACGATATGAATATTGGTGAAAATATTATGTGTAGTAATAACAATAGCAGTAGAAGTGGTGATGGTAGTACTAGTAGTGGTTGTTGCTGTTTTCGCGTTAGATATACTTCTAGTCGCAGTAATATGAGATAAATTCACCCTATTCCGTTTGAGGTAATGAAGAACTGGTAGTAAAATTTCCCCACAATGATATGAGTAGAGCTGACGTTTCCATTGAATTTCACATTTCCTTGCTTTCCCAAGAGTTGCTCTCATCCAGGCAGAGGTGAACTGCAGTTTCGACCTCGCATCGGTCTTATAAACACCCCCAGCGGGATTCGAACCGTGACAGTGCAGAATGGGAGTTTGACACTTTAACCACTCTACCACATTGCCACGAGTGCCCTTGGGTCACAGGGCAGATGTGAATTTCAAGGAACGCCAGGCCTTTCACCATATCATATTCTTTGGTGGGATTGTCGATGAAGCAAACATATATTTGCTATAAAAATCGACTACGTTATTCGAAACACTACTCAAATACGAAAATTTCTAGTTGTAGTAGCCTGACGCTATTGTGTCAGACCACTCTTCTGCAATTAGAGCACAATGTCCGGAGTTCTCTTCCATGCGTAGTCATGATTATTTCCTGCATTCGATCGTGGACTCGGTTGATACCCAAACGTTTCGCCGTTGCCTTCTGGTGGAACCGCCCTTCGAATCTCTTCACCCAACACTTTCACTCGAAATGGATATAAGTTCAAAAAGTTAAGTCTATCCTTTCTGGAACTTTCTGCGGAATAGTTGTGGTATCTCACCTTTCTCTCCTGGTTCATTCACATGTCCCATATCCCTGCATCTCTCCTTTCAGAATCACAACTCTCACTGTGCTTATTTTCACCAATATTCTGATTGAGTAGGATTTCGAAACCGTCGATAGACCTTACCAAGAGAGAGATGAGACCTGGAACTTTAATGATAAGGGGAACTATGGTGCTACTTAAGCTATATGAGGTGTATTCAAAGGATAAGAATACCTTTTGAGAAAGCAAGGTTAAGTGAAAGTAAATGTAAAAGTAAGTCTGCTTATGCTATTGTGGGAGAATTCAATTGCCAGTCCCTTTTTCATTTTAAACGGAATAAGAGTGATTCCTTTTCATATATAGGATATATAGACAGTCGCGAAAACCTACTTATGAACAAAAAATTAATTAAACTAGTCTTTCGTCCAGTTTTAAAATTTAGGATTTGGACAACTTTTCGGTAAGCCTGTTTTATATTATGCTTATTATAAAACTCTTGAGAAAGATGATCATGGGACACAACGGCTTGAGCCACGAGCTTCGGGTGGCAATGACAGAGTCAAATTACGGAACCGCGGAGATGGTAGACTGATCGTCCAGGGCACGATGAAGACTCTGATAGGACCTGGATTAAGTAGATTGCAGACTAAAAGGACCAAATCGTAGAGGAGGAGGATGAAATCAACCGGGAGTTCGATTAAGTCATAC